TTGAGCTATTAGGTTAGGCCTATATTCCATTTTAACTAATTGGGCTTACTAGGCTTTAACTACTTGGGCTCATATTTTGTTTGGGCTTAAACTTTTAATTGCATAATGAAAATTTCTCTGGATCATTGACATATTGGATCTTTGACATAAATATGAGATTGGAATTTAATCCTACAAGAAGGAAAAAAAAANNNAAAAAAAAAAAAAAACAATAGGTTGTTTGAAACTATCAAATTAAGTTATAGACTTAACAAAATCTATAACACCATTAAATTGAGAGTTAAAAAATATATAAAAATAAAAGACTGGTGTTTGCTCACATATAATAATAAGTAAACATTTGCATAATATTATTAAAAAAAAAGAAATGGGCGATAGCAAGGAAACCGAGCAAGAGCTTCATACTTTCCTTAATTTTCTCCAACAATCTCGTACTTTCCTTATTTTTTTTATTTTTTTTACTTTGTATCATATTTGGTGTTTTAAAACTTCAAATGAACTCTCAATTTAATGTTGTTATGAGTTTTGTTAATTTTGGGACTTAATTTGATAGTTTTATAACATCTAGGTCCCGAATTAAAAAAAAAAATATCTTCCAGGCCCCGAATTGATAGTTTAACTATCTTTCATGTCTTGTATTAAAAAAACTCCTATTAAAATTCATTAAAAAAATAAAATTATTTTTCAATTGAAATATTTATGTTTAATGTAGTTATATGTTGTAAGTTAAAAAAATTATTATAATATAACATAAGTAAGTCGCACAAACAAAAAGTATCAATAAAAATATATAATAATATATATATTTTTATATAAGGTATATAAACTTTAAACTACTTTTTCTCAATAATTTTAAATTTAAAAAAAAAAATAGCAAGTGCCCATGTAATACACGAGCGTTGTAGTAGTACAATTTAAATTTCAATTAATTTTGAACGATAAAAATAAGTTAAGAAAAAATAATAATTTTTATATGATAGAAGTACATGTCTAATTAATAAATACAAACAAAAACGTATTTTATAGAGCATCTACAATACATTGAGTCTAGTATTGTCTATGTACATTTAATAATCCCAAGTCTTGGATGACATGGACTAAACTATGTAAAATTGATAAAATTCACTCAAATGTAAAGAGACTAGGTTTTGTTGGGTCCAAAATAAACTTAAGGGTAGATTGAATCTTTTTTTCTGGCTGCAACATTAGCATGACACAATCTACTTTTGTTTGTATTGAAAAATACATTTTAAGACTATGTCTATTTCTTAAATGCGACATACAATTGGATCCAAAACATTGTGGATGCTCTTATATTTGTCATTTCCTTTTGCGTCCTTTAATTGTTG